CCTTAGCATTCTTCCAGAATGAAAGTAGCTCTGAATGGCTTCACAAATATCCTCCTTAAGAAGGGGCCAGAAGTGTTGAAAGAAAAGGCTAGTCATCCCATCTTCTCCAGGTGATTTATCAGGACTCATGCTAAGAGGGCCTCCTTAATCTCTTCTTCTTCAACTGTAGAGGTCAGGGCAACATTTTGATCATCAGTGATGGAATTGTGAATGTGTTGGAGGAAATCACTGGAGCTAGAGAAACCTTCAGAGGTGTAGAGTTTGTCATAAAAGTGGCAGACACAATTCTGCAATTCTTGGGGAGTCTCAAACACTTTCCCTTCTTCATTTATAAGCCTGGAAATGGCATTTAACTTCCTTCTTTGAACGGTTAGGGCATGAAAAAATTTTGTGTTCTTATCTCCCCCTTTTAACCACATCAGCCTTGATTTTTGCCTCCAATATATCTCTTCTGAGTAGGCTTTGTTAAGCTGAGAAGTAAAAGAGTGCCAAGTTTCCCAATTTTTGGTACCTGTGGATTGTCTGAGAGACTCCAGAGCTGCAGAGAGAGATTGAATTTTCTTTTGATTTTCAGAGTTGTGAGTTTTGCTCCAAGATAAGCGAGTCTGCCTTGTTGCTTTGATTTTTTCTTTGACTCTGAACATGGGAGTGCCCCTAGTATTTGTTGCCCAAGCTTCTTCAACCACATTCTGAACTCCATCTCTCAGCAACCATCTCTGGTCAAATTTAAATCTGCATTTAGGCTTGAAGAGGGGTCAGTATCAATGAGCAGCATACTGTGGTCCGATGAGCTCCTAAAAATGTTCTCCACAATGGCATTAGGATGAGAAGCATGCCAGTTCAAAGAGGAAAAGCCCCTGTCTAGTTTTTTCTCCACCAAGTTTGCACTTTCCCTGTTGTTAGCCCATGTATAGTAGTAGCCCTTCCAGCTGAGCTCGCTCATACCCATATCAGCAATGAAAGCATTGAAGCTTGCAAAGCTATTCAGATTTCTAGGAGAGCCTCCTTTCTTGTCCTCACTGTTGCACAAATCATTCCAGTCACCAGCACAAAACCAATGATCTCCCCATTTTGGTCTGAATGATTTTAAGAGCTCCCACTGAAGAAGTCTAACCTTTTTTATAGGGCTAAGATAGACAAAAATTAGCCAAGAACTTCTACTATCTTGCTGAGAAGAGAATTCAATCTCCATACAAAAGTCATGACATAAGATCTGAAAAATAATAACTTCATGGTTCCAAAACAAAAGCAAACCACCAGAAAGTCCAGTAGGATTGACCACTTTTCTCCTATCTACACATCTCAAACTCATACAAACAGTATTTACAAAAGCTTCTGAATTTTTAGTTTCAGATAAAAAAGTAAAAGCGGGGTGTGTTGGGATCGCCTGTAACGTACGAGCTATACGCAGCGGAATTTAAAATTTTTTAAAACATGTATTTAACAATTAAATACATAACTCGTACATACATATGTCGAATAAACA